TGGTGTATGATGAGTGGTGTATGATGAGTGGTGTATGATGAGTGGTGCATGATGAGTGGTGTATGATGAGTGGTGTATGATGAGTGGTGTATTGATGAGTGGTGTATGATGAGTGGTGTATTGATGAGTGGTGTATTGATGAGTGATGTATGAACAGTTCTTGAGTGTCCGTAACACGGAAGTTTCGTACACTAAACTTCCTTTGACCACCTAAGGCGTTCAACTCATTCTGTGGGGTTCAAAACCTGCTTGTGACTTCCGCGGAACTTCCGTTGTGTTAAACTCATCTCATCTCGTTTCAGTTGAAAAGGTTGCCGATGCTCTCATTCGTGATTCTGTTGAGAGCTCAGCCCTGGCGAACCACTTCTTTCGCGGTTGGATTCTTCATTGTTCGTGGGTTGTTTGCTGGTCATGGAATTGCTACTACATTGAGTATGTTTCATTCTACTTTTGATTCATGGTTTTGTTTCTTCATTGACCAATGACCCATGTTTTTCTGGTTTCTTGGGTTGCTTCATTTCTTGGAGGTGGAGGACGTGTTGCGAGAGAGGGGCGTCCAGCTCGAGCTCGAGGACTTGGATCCCCGAAATTTGGGCAAGGCCTGCGGGCGGCACCGATGCAAGCAACGGAAGGAACGGAAGGAATAGAAGGAAGGTGACGCTCAGAACAAGGTGCAGATTGGGTTTATGACTGAATTTGTCACAAAAGTGAGCTTGAGAACCATGCTTGGACATGCGCACACACACGCACCATGGGAGAGACTAATCAAAGTTGTTGAAACTTGGTACTAGCAAGCTCCAGCGGAGAAAGGTGAACTTGAGGAGGCCCTGAGATGAAATTTTGCAGCGACCTGTGTTGACTGAGCTCTGGTGATTTGTGGGTTGCATGATTTGTAATGAGTTTTGGCTCGCCCAATTGAGCTTTGCCAAAGAAAGCACCGCCTGATTGAGCCGTTGCAGCCATTGCAGAGTTATTTTTGTCCCCTCACGTAAGCTTATGATGGGCCACGAAGAGCTGCGCCGGCCTGGAAGGGCAGGGAACCCATAGCACAACAACTCAGCACGAGCAATTTCAGGGAAGCTACCTTTGGGCCCTCCACGCAAAGCAAATTTAAATACCTTGGGAAAGCACAGTAGGCACAGCACCTCCTGTGTTCTCAAGAGATCTCACGAGGATGGGGACCCGGTCCATGTCACATGCTTCTATAACTTCTATATACTTATTCCTGCATGTGTGTACCGTAAACCTAACATTTTGTTGTTTCATTCTCTTGCTGCTTCTCTCATACTACCAAGCGTCTTACACAAGTGAAAAGAGGGCTTTGCAACAGATTCAATCACACAACTCTTGCTACTGCTGCTGCAGGTTCTCAGCAGTGGAGAACTCTTGAAGCTTCTTCCAGTCCCGGGGCCTGCCTGAGGGGGCTGTACCGGGGTGAGCGTGTGGGCATCAAAGGATTGTACATGAGAAGAGATGTTTTCTCGACAGAGCTTGGGCTTCGCATCATTATTGTTGCGTTACCCAAGAAGACAGTCGAGTCAAGATGTGAAGTGGAAGTATCGACCTGTTAATGTCAACTTGCTCAGTTGCTGTAAAAGCCAAAGAGCATTACGCATTTGATGCAGTGCTTGCGCCTACCGAGCTCACTCTCAGCCCCTTTGCCCAATAGCCACCTCAGCCCTGAGTTTGCTTTTTCTGCACTGTGCACTCCCGCTTGCACAGAGTTGCTGTTGCGCAAACGTCGTTTGATGCTACGTAGCGTGACTGAAGGGATCAGCCATAAGGTGGAGATGCCTTTCCGCCACCATCCTTTCTCAAACAGCATCGCAATTTTGTAAACACTCATATACATTGTAAACTATTTGTTGTCAACTTCAGAGTGAAAAGGGATGGTCACGTCGGACAAAGAAAAGTCGAGTCTGGCATCCACAGTGTTTGAGCACGCCAGTGCTTGAGCTTGAGTTGGCGTCCAATTTTCGCACCAAGTCTGGGCTATAGCCGTTGACACAGAGGTGCGTGATTTTCACTGAGCATATCTCAGTACATTTCATACAAACCATTTGGAGGTTCCGAAGAGTACAAGATGAAAAGCTTGACTTTGTGCTACTTTATGGCACACGCCGACGCCTACGACGATTTTGTTGACAAAACAAACTATGACAATATGACTTACAAGGCCCGCCCGTGAGAAGAACGAGTTTGCTTTTTTTCACTGTTGCACTTTAAATAAGTATCGAGTATGATCAGCGAAGCGTGAAAGACCCACCGAGGCTGAATGGTGTCCGCAGTGTAAGGTTCAGGAAGCAATAGAATGGGACTCACATGCTCAGATTTTGATGATTGTAGACACAGACGGCTGTAAGGCACAAAAGCTGTTGAAAGAAAAGAATGTCTGCCATTTTCTTGCATGTATGGGATTTCAAACAATTTCAGTTTTTCCAAAACGCGATTTGAGAGCACGTGAAAGGGTCATGCACTGCTCTCTCCGCAGGATATTGTGGTAGCTGAGTGTTTGCTATGGGGAGTGAGTGTGCATGTTCAGAGACAATTGGTTGTTGCGAATTTGATATGCGTAGGAACAAGAAGCTACTAGGAACACTAGTCAATAGGAAGCCTGCATAGATAGCTCAGACTCGAATCTTCAGACAGCTTACCGCCGGGATACTTGTCATGTCCTGCGATTTGGCACGTCTAAAGTCAGCGTTGAACCTCAGACAGTTTGTTGTTTGGTTTGGAGGTGCAAATTAGTTGTGATTCGTTGTAACTTGTGTTGATCGTTTTTGAGTTAAAACATCTGCGAGCTCTTTCAAATCTTTCAGCTCTTTCTGTAGCGACTTGTGCGACTTTGCACGTTTGTCCGACTTTGTCCTCAGAATCTCTACACCGCATTCCAGGTCTGCACTACGCGACTGGGAGGAAAGTCGTGCAAAGGACTGAGCAAGTTGCTGGTCTCAAAACCTGCCCCCTTCACATCTTCCCAATGTCTGCTTTTCTATTCAATAGAGTTGAGGATTGGCTACTCAACTGGTGCACTGAATGCAGATCCGCTTGCTTCCACTTTATCCTTATATAGCTGCACACAGTTGTTGATGTGCTCCCATATTTCCTGCAGAACTTTTCAGCTTGGTGCAAAGCTGCTCGGCGGTTGCTAGACAATCTGCAAGCTTCAGTACAACTAGGCGAGCTCCGAAGCATCACGGTCACTTTGCTGACAGGGCTGCAAGTTTGCAGCTTCTGAGCTTTCTGGATTTCTTTACCTGCAAAGCAGTTAGCAGAATTTGGCGCATATATAGTGGACATTTCACCAACCACAAGACACTGAACGAGAGTATTTTTGCAAGAGTTAAGCACCCCGTCAGGAAATGATGATGTCTTTTGAGAACGAAGAAACAGTGAAACAACCTGAGTTGTGAAACGGATACACATGCGTGCAATTTTGGCTACAAGTATGGCCCCCCTACTTTCTTTTTCATCGAGCCATGGAGCTTGAGGATGCGGAGATGGTGCCTGTCCACCGAGTCAGGGGGCAAGAGGCAGGGGCCATACTGGTGGATGACGATTTGCAGGAGGTAGTTGTGTCGCTCCATGGAGAGACTGCAAGCCCTGCCAAGCAGGTGAGAGAGGGTGGCCGCCGCGAACCAGAAGGACGGCGAACAGGGTCACCCACGGAGGTCATGGAGGTGGACTCGAACACTGAGGAGGAGGAGGACCCGAAATCAGGCACAGCACCAGCCACGAGCGATGCGACAGTAGAAGTGAGCGATGATCCCCAGGGCATGACCAGGTGCGAGATGCAGAAGCTCAAGTGAGTCGAAAAAAGAAACCCGGGAATATGTATTAAGTAAGGAATGTTCCCAGAGGTTCAGAAATCGCTTGGCCACCGCTTGGTATTCTGGTGTTTAAAGTGGGTATGTTACCTCGTCGCGCTAGCAAAACGCAGGGTTGCGCTAGGTTCGCGCTAGGTTTGGCGCTAGGATCAAGTACTTAGGTAAGTTAGAAAAGATTAACAAACAAGAGCTGATTGTAATGGTCACTCATTGGTGCACACACACACACCCGCACAGGCACAAGAGCAGCAACTGTTTGAAAGGCAGCGCGCGCTGAAAAAGGCAGCAACTGTTTGAAAGGGAGTAACTGTTTGAGAGACGAGAAAGCGAGTTCTTGATCACAGATGTTTGGTGGCCTCATGCACTGGCAGGGAAGCGCGCTAGATCCGCGCTAGACCCCTTTGCAACTTTGACCACTTGTCCAAGTGCTTTCCAGGGTGTATAGTCTTGGCAATTTGTTTCTGTGTGCAAGAGGATGGCTACTTTCAGCTTCACATTTGGAACCATTGGACTCTGTAAGTAAGAACGCAGCTGTTCAAAGGGCATACACAACAGACAACCATATACATGAGCGCATGTTGGGTACATGATGGCCACCGCTTGGAATTGCTGCGATTTCAACCTAGGATAATGATTTTAGAACGGGTTTTCTTTTTCAACTCAAGTGGACGAAAAGGCTTTGCTGGGTCGGTGCGGCCGTGGGCGCTGGGCATTACAAATTAGAACCAGAAGCTCGAGGACTCGAGGAGCGCCTGAAGAAGCCGAGGCGAAGGGGACCAAGGCAATGCTCGGTGTTTGAGGTGGACGAGCTCCAAAGAAGATGCCCATCAAAATGCCCAAGGGACTTTGTGGCTTCTCACCCATGAAACCTGGGGTGTGCACTTGCTATGGCTTGCAGGTGGGAAGCTCCAAGGGTGGCAAAGATGGCAAGTGCGGCAGGGGATTGCGCATGTGCACGAAAGCCTGGCAGTGCAACCAGTGAAGTGTTGCGCGATGCGAGCCGTAGATGCTTTTAATTTCTCCAGGCAAGGCCTGGGCAGGCGGAGTGAAAATGTGAGTGGCCAAGTGCCATGCGCGTTTGAGTTTGCTGGGCCCTGTGAGTTAAATATGTAAGTGGTTGAAAGCTCATCTCACCGACACGAGAAGCCGGTCGCTTTCTGGTGTGTGGTGCCTGTTGAGATGTAGAGGAGTGACGAGCGGCGTGGGATTGGCCACGAACAGGAACAGGTGATAGCTCAGGCTGAGACGCTCCCAATTGTCATCATTAAGCACTTCAAACAGCTGCTCGAGAGCAATGCTTCATTGACAATGACGGTGCCAAGGAGCCGCTTGTTTCAGGGACCACCAAATCATTGGCTATGAGGCAGACGCTTGTGCCATCCCCCAAGAGCATCGCAGATGCCCGAGCCAGGTTGAAGTGGGAAGAACCAGGCAACGTGATAGAGTATGTCAAGGTGGAAGTGGAGCTCGACTACAATCTATGGGGTGCAATTCGGGTAGTCTGAGGTATTGACTCAACAAGTTCAGTGAAGGCCCAAGCATTTCATGTGTAGACTACAGACAAGTGATCACAGTGGTTGGATGCAATTTGGTTTCCCAGGCACCACGCGCGTCCCCAATGATCACACAGGGAGAGTAGAGCGTGTGCGAAATTCGTCGTGTCGAAAGAGAAACGGTAAGGAACAGTTACACAGTTTTCTGTGCCCCAAGGCTGGAACAACAGAGGTAACAAGACAAAATCTATCCGTCACAATTTTTTCAATGTTTGCTCTGACGGTGCTACCGTATATATATATATGTATTTACGGCCCCGTAATTTAAGATGCACCTCATACCGTCTGTTCCGCAGTGTTGGGCTTAAGCTTTGAATGGCCTGCCCGTCCTGCGCTCTTTTTGAGGGCAATCCGTGCAGGCTCTGTCGCACTCACAAGAGGATTCGTGAGTTGCTTTGCGGAGGCCTATTGTTGAGGGGTCAGGAGGAGGCAGCACTACAGATCTTGCGGGCGGCAGCAGGAGCACTGCTGGATCTGGCAGAGGAGGCAGCGCCGGTATTAGCACGTGAGAGGCGTGAGTCGAACCCGGTCGGATTTGCTGCTGACGCTTCACTCGAACCTACATTGACTCCTATTGATCCTACGGGAGAGCGTGTACGACCACATCCTGGAGTGGCATCGGTTGAACCGGGAGGCGGAATCGCTCCTGCGCGTGTGGTGGTGAAGGACGAGCAGGCCGAGGATTCGAAGAAAGAACCCTTAGCTGAGGTCAAGGTTGACGAGAAAGACGAGGTCATCAACGAGGTTGCGATTGCTGCTTCGGCGAGTCCAGGTGAAGAGAAGGGCCCCGAAGGTGAAGAAGCAGTCAAAAAGAAGAAGAAGCGCAAGCACAAGACAACCCAGGAAGGCAACAGGACTGAGAAGCGGAGACGCAGGCGTCGGGACGGCAGTCAGCATCCCCCCATTGAGAGGGACCCGGAACCACCTACGAGGACCCCTCCAGTCGGGACACCATCCCTTGGGTTGCAACCAGCACCCAAGCCAGCGGCATCCAGAGCCAGCAGGTTGGCAAGGCTCCCAGCGCCCCCACCTGCACCAGCTCGCCCCGGGCCCGTTGAGCCCAACTATCCACCTCCTCGCCAAGGAGGCCGAGCAGAGGGTCACCGACCCAGGGCAAGAAGGAACAGCCCGCCACGGAGGCCGCGGGGTAGCAAAGGGGTCCAACACAGACTCCGAGGCTACTACTACGGTCGTCGGTGATAGCGATGGCTCCGAAAGCAAAACCCAAGGCGAAAGCCAAAGCAGCCGTCAAGGCCCGGGCCAAGGCAGCCATCCACCGAGCAGCCAGGCGAGGCGCCTTGAGGAGGCCGGCGGGAGCACCGGCAGCAGTGGTAGCTCCTGGGGTGATAGACCGCTGGAGGGCAGGAGAGGAGGTTGCATTGAGCGAGATCACCTTGGAGGAGCTGGGTCGTGGCGTGAAGATAGCATTGACCAAGGGGTCCTACTTCCTGGCGGAGGGTCAGGTGGCAGGGACCCTGGACAGCATGACGGTGGAGGCCGGGGAAGTCCACTTGGCTCTCACCCCGACAGGCACGACAAACGAGAACCTCCTGAAACACTGCACGGGCAATCCAGGCAAGTTGATTCGTTGCCATCGGTGCACTCCGCTGTGCGCTGGAGAACGGGTCGCGGACGACCTGATCCACGGGAGCCATGCGCGTCTCCTGAGAAGTCGAGAAGAAGAAGAAGAAGGTTGGGCTTACAACCTCGTTGCGGTCGGTCCAGGAGAAGACGATCTCCGAGACGTTCGGGCACGCGCAGAAACTCGAGGAGTCGCAGAGGCCGCCAAGAAAGATCGAGAGGTCGAAGGCCGCGAGGTCAGATCCCGGTCTCGGAGGCGGAGGTCAGCTGCCAGAGGACGCAGCAGCAAGAAGAAGAAGAAGAAGGCGAGAGGCAAGTCAAGGCGGAAGGCCCGTCGGGAATCAGGTGGCAGCACCGCAAGGGCGGCGAGAAGAAAACCAAAGGCAGTGGCGCCGCCAGGGCACACGAGACTACATCCGGCAGTTCGAGTTCAGCCAAAGTGGATGGGCGTCACGCCCGCGGTGCTGCAACGAAGCCGTTAGCAGCACTGTTCGCAGGCACCGGCCTGGATCCGAAAGAACGAGTGCGGAAACGGGTCATCCGCCGCGCTCGCAAGGTCGCGAAAAGGTCCAAGTCGGCCAGGAGCAGTGGTTCCTCAAGGAGGACACAGCCGCGGAGGAGATCAGCGACCTGAGCTTGTTCGACCCAGAGACACGCCTGCAAAGAGTCGCGGAGCTGTACCCAGGCGTGCTTACAGCCCAAGCTCTAAAAGGGATGCGGTCCACCCTGTTGCAAACAATTGGGTCAGACGACCCAGCTGCTCCCCCCCAGGCGATTTCGATGGGGTACTACCGCCAACAGTTACAACGCCGAGCAACTGGACCGGTGCATGGAGCTGATCACGATATGCGCGGGGTTGGACGCGCTGCTCAAGGGTTCGCCCTCGAAGTGCACCGACATCCTATGCCAGCGCCTCAAGTCCATAGAGGCTTCAATGTCGGGTACCCACTGGTCAGTGGCTCAGCGACTGGAACTGACACCTCAAGAAGCACAATGTCCTTGCTGCAAAAGAAGAGTTGTCGGGGGCGCAGAAGGAAGCGTACGACGACTCAAAGGTGCGCTACCTCTCGTCGCTTCAAGATGGGCGCAAGGGGAAGTCCAAGGGCAAAGAGAGGGAGGGCACCGAGATTCAGAAGGGCAAAGGAAAAGGGAAGAGCAGCAAGGGCAACAGGGAGAAGCCGAAGGACGACTCGAATGCCAAGTAGGCACCTGGGAGCAGGTGCCAATCGAGGAGTTGGATGGTGAGGTTGACAGCTCCTGGGACCGGGAGCTTGAGGCCGCTATGAATGGAGATACATTGAGCTCCTGTGGACGGGAGCTTGGTATGATGGTGGATGGTGCAATTTGCAACTCCTGGGTACGGGAGGTTGAGGCTACAGGGCATGGATCGGCATTGGGCTCCTGTGGACGGGAGCAGGCTATGATGGTCTCCCGTGGACGGGAGGATGGTATGATGGTTGAGGGTGCAGGCTGCCACTCCTGGGAGCGGGAGCTTGAGGGCACAGTGCATGGAATGGCATTGGGCTCCTGTGGACGGGAGCGTGGTATGATGGAAGAGGGCAGTGATGGGTCATTGCAGGCGTCAACGAGCGAAGCACAAAGCCACTTGATGCCGCCTGGAGCTGACCTAGCTGGCCGTGCGCACAGCCGCTGAGGTATCCTACGCCTCGCGATGAGACATTCACGTCGAGTGTCGCCAAAGAGTACAGTTTTCCTCCAGCCCCTCCGCTCTTTGAAGGCGTCGAGGGGCTGCAGCAGC